CCAGGTGCCATTCGGCTTTTTAACAAGCACCACATTTGCAACCCAGTCTGGGAAGTAACATTGCCGAATGAACCCTGCATTAAGTAATTTTTTAACTTCGGCGGCTGCCGCCTGACTTCTTTCTTCGCCATGGTTCCGCTTCTTCTGCCGTACCGGCTTCTTTTTCGGATCCACAGCGAGTTTATGTACCGCCAGATCAGGACTAATGCCTGGCATTTCATGGACTTCAAATGCAAAGATGTCCTTGTATTCTTTCAATAGGTTGTGAAAGTCGTCACCAAGGTTTCTCAGAGCAGTCGTCCCAACTTTGACTGTTCGGTCAGGACGTGAGTCGTCTAAGATCAGGTCCGCATGCTCACCAGCCGGCTGAGGGCGGAACTCATCTGGCCGCTCCTCTGCCAATGATTGCCATTTTCTCGCTTTTCTTGCGGACTCTGTCTGGGACGCCTTTCTCTTTTTGCCGCCTGCTTCTTGAACAGGCGCACTCTCCTTGACATTGTCAAGGTCTGTTTTTTCTCCACTTGACCCAGTGGCCATAACAGTGGGCTTGACATCCGAGAGATAGCACTCTCGGGCCATCCTCTGATCTCCCCTTATGGAGCCGACTGTTCCATTATCCCTCTCAAACTTGAGCAACATAAGAGACGGGATTATAACAGCCTTGGAATTATTCAGGGTTGGTCGACCCAGAATCATGTTGTAGGCCGAGAGTTCCTCTACTACTAGGAACCGGACTACCATGTGTCGTCCTTCCCCTTTTTCGCCCAGGCGAATGGGTAAATCTACTCGTCCCAGTGGGTGGACGACTCCTCCTCCAAACCCTATTAAAGGGTGGGAGGCCGGATGTATGCAGTCAGTCTGATATTTCAGTTTCGACAGACATTTGCTGCTGATGAGATCTGAGGAGCTCCCGGTATCTATGAGGATTCGGCCAACTCTCTGGTTGGCCACTTTACATTCAATAACGAGAGGGTCGTCATGAGGACCCCTTACCCCTCCTAGATCCTCTTCAGTGATGACAATCTCAGGAAATGTATATTTGGACGGCCGTCCTTGGTGAACGAAATTTACATCTAACCGCCTTATATTATCTTTGTTGCCCCTAATAGTGGGGCCGCCTCCTGAGAAGCCGCCTGCAATGGTGTAGACGACTGCATCATCTGTATCGGAGCTGTCGGCCTGTTGATTCTTTTTGGCCGACAGCTTTTTTGAGGAAGTGTTCCCCGTAGATTTCTTGACATAAGTGTCAAGATCACCTTGCTCAGCCAGGCGGTCTAGGTACCGCATGAGACTGATGCAGTCATTGGTATGATGACCAACGTCATCATGATAAGCACAGATTTTATCTTGGTTTCGGTTGTTTGCAGAACCCTTCATGGGGACCGGCTTCTCAATTGAGATCCGTCCCTTGATTTCTTTTAGGATAAACTGGTTATCCTTGTTAAACGCATACTTTGGGGAGTATGGTTTGAATTCTTTTTTCTTTTTCTGGGCCGGCTGTTTAGAGGAATCAGCCGCCCAGACCTCTTTTCTTTTCTCCTCTTTGTTTGACGACTGTTTCTGTCGTCCTTCTCTTTTGTCGAACCTTTTCCCGTCCGACTGTTTAATCGTACACAGATCAGTCGCCTGTATATAGGCTTCTGCTTCAATCAAGGCCTCTTGAAGAGTCGCCACCCTTTTTCGAACCAAATCAAATTTGAAGGTAGACCCGTCTTTGAGACCTCTTAAAAATTCTGTATAAGCTACCTCATCCGGTAACCCTTGAATCTGTATTCTCATCAGGTTAAACCGCCTGATGTAAGAACGAAGCCCCTCCTTCTCGCCCTGCTGAATTGTTCCCAAATCAAGGGTCGTTTTCTTCGCAGGGATGTTCATGGCGAAGTTGGAGGCAAATAAGTAAGCAAGCGTCCTGAAGCTATTTACACAACCAGTCGGCAGGTTGCCGAACCATTGTTGTGCGATTCCTTTGAGAGTCGCTGGGAAACACTTGCACCAAGTGGGATCATCCAACCCTTGAAGGTACATTAGGTTGGTGAATGCCATCAGATGGTCTTCTGGGTTAGTAGTGCCGTCATAGGCGCCTACTAGTACATTTTTCACTTTGGCCGGCTGAGCGGCTTCAGTAATTTCCTTGGAGAAGGCCGACGGCTGTTCACCAAGTCTAAGCAACCGTAGCTGCCAGTCCATAGGTTGGACGTTTTTTGTTGTAGGTCCACCAAATGGAGGTGGCTGCATAAAATACTGTTGTTGCGGCACAAATGGTAAGTTTGGTACCGCCTGGGCACTATGAAAGCCGGACTGACGGGAGGTGCCGCCTGACTGACTCTCATGGTACGACTGAGTATGCCTCATCGAGGCATTTCGCAAACTGTCTTGAAAGTTTGAAGTAGAAGCCGACTCTGACAATCGGTCACTCTTCTTCTGCTCTAGCAGTAGCCGAGCATCTGTGAATGTTTGCTTTGACCCGTCCGCCTGAATATGACGAACCGGTTTCCTATTTCCTGTAGGATAACGGAATTTTGTGAAATCAAGGGCAGGTGGCTCCCGCTTTCTAGATTTAGGATGAGGAGTCGCCTCTCGCCCTTGAACTGGCTTCCTCTTCAGTGAAGTGGAGGGTTTCTTGGCCAACTGCTCCTTGACTGAAGCAGGCGGCTTCTTGTTGATTAACTCTTGAATCTCTCCCTTGAAGTCCCTCATGAAGGTCATGAGTTCGTTCCTTGTGATGGGAGCAGACCCATCAGTCGGCTGTTGCCGAACAGGCGGTGCGCCTGCTGGCTCGCTTCCTGTTTGAAGATGCTCCCGTTCCCTCCTTTCGGTATGACGGGTACGTCGAGCCCTTAGGGTCCCGTCTGGAGCTGTATGAGTTTCAACTTCAAATTCACTTTCGGTGTCATGGTCCGACTGAACTTGAGGGTCGTTTAGGGGACGCCTCTCTTCAGGAGTCGGTACAGACTTGGATGCCATCTCTGAAGTACTCTCCCCACAGACGACGCCAAATGTTTCGGGGTTTTCTGATGTCCTGCGGGAGAGTTACAATTCCGAGACTGGAACCGGACGCCTGTACCTGCAAAATAACGGAGACTCCTGGGAGCTCCGCCTCCAACGGTCAAGTTAGTACCTGATTAAGGAGTAATTAATGCGGAAATTAAAGTAATAAGGTCTCTCTAGGTGAGAGTGTTTAATGTTGGTAATCTGCTTTGTTAGCGAGATCAGCCGGTTATTAGTGTGTTCCGTAACGTTTCTGTTCTGTTCTGTTGTGTTTTTTTTTTAATGAGGATTAATTAAGTATTTATAGTCTTGAGAAGCGTGCCACTCTCTAGGTTTAGGGTAAACCTAGGGCTGACCGGGCCTCTAAACAGGATTGGGCCTTGTTGGCCGGTTTTCCCATTTGGCATGGGTGGACACGTGGCGTGTCTCAATTGGTCCGTAGAGGACGTATCTGTGATTGACACGTGGCAGACTCCTATTGGCCTACGTGAAGGACACGTGGCGGAACCTGGTTGGTCCACTTATCAGACGGTGATTGGTGGATAAAAATCCCCTAATCACCTTTAACTGTAGAATAGTTGATCCTAGTAAAAATATGAGGTGCAACACGCGTCCCAATGTCCCGAGTCTTTGAGAATTTCTGGATCCGCTTGAGCAATGCAACAACCTCCTTTTCTAACTCCCCAAGAGAAGAGAAAGGGAAAGGAAGAAAGCCATATCTAATTGCTTGACAACTAGATTCGTACTTGACCCGCTTCCAAATGGCCGCATCAGTCACCACCCGTCTTGGAACAAAGTCATAAATCCCATATTGTGTCAATGGAGAAGACCCTGTCAAGTCAACACAGACATTGCGACCACGACCCCATGAATAAAGTAACAAATCTGCAAGTCTGAGAGCCCCGTCGTTCCCTCCAAATAACCCCATGTCCACCTCCTTTATAGATGAAATCCCTAATCGATAGCAAACATCAACAAGGGTATCTCGAACAACATTATGCCGATGTTTAATACCCATAATACCAGTACAAGACACCGCGTGATCACCGAAAATATCCTCAGCAAAAACCCTTGAACAAGCAGAGCACGGGTGTCGTGATAGAGAACAATGGAACACCCAACCGGGTAGCACATCGCACATCGATAAGTCTTGACGTTCATCGTCTGACCCAACCCCAAAATAGGGACCGCCCGAAGCGAAGCAAAAGGTGTGATCTCCCTGCTGTGATTTCCATAATGCTGATTGTCGAGGAGTTAAAGATTAAAGAAGTTTCTGCAGAAGCGGTAACCTTAGTGAAATATATATTTGCCAATTTCTTCATGAGTTTAGGAGCAGCGACCCTCACTAGGATTACTCAGAATATCAGACTCCACTATTCCATTAAACTGACCCAACGCATCCTCAAAGGCTTGTCCAAGACCAACAATGCCAGCATATTGTAGAGGTTGTGTCTGCAGTACATCATACTGCAGCCGAAAAGCAAGAAAAAGCATAGTGACGAACATCACCTGCGGAATAAACACCAAACCCATGCCCCGAAGCAGTAACAATACGCTCCAAGGAAGAATGAAGAGCCCCATCGAAAGTGCGCTGAGCCATCTCAAAAGTAATAGGAGGACACTACTACATTTTTAACCAAATGCAACGGCTAAATTTTGGTTAACGCCACGGCTACGTACATAACCGTTGCAATAGCTAGGTCTATTGCGACGGCTGCTTAATACCTTCTCAATAATAGGGTCTAAAGCAACGGATAAGAGTTGGCCGTTGCAATAGGCTTTTTTTTTTTTTTTTTTTTTTTTTTTTTTTTTTTTTTGCAATAGGGCTGTTTTATACAATGAGTGTAAAATATGAACTTTTTACCTGGGGCGCACTAAAAAATCCCACCTAATTTTTCTCCAAAATTAAAGTTTCACGCTTTCCTAAGAAAACCCGCCCTTCCTCTAAAAAAACAAAAGAAATCCGCCAAATTTCCTTTTTTTTTTCTTTTCATGAATAATCAAAAAGGCTACAAACCCGATCCACCCAGCTTTCTCAATCAAATGGCTTTTTATAAAAAAAACCAAAACAGGTTCTCTTCTTCAAATTTTTCCAGCGGCATCTTGAATTTAAGGAGTGAGATGTTAGAGGAAGGAGCTAGGAATGGACCCCGCAAGCCGCAACCACCTTTGATCTGAGGACGATCTATGTTTTTGAATTTTGACGAGCGATTTCTGTCTCCTTTGATCTGACGGTGCCTCTTATTACTTCCTGGTTTTCAGTTTTCCAAGTTGTAAGTTTCTGTCCAACATTTAAACCTTAGATTCAATTTCACCTCTTTGTTTTTGTTTTGCCCAAGTGTTAAAATTTGTTGCTGCAATTGTACCTTTCTCTTTGTTTTTAAATCAAAATTGAAAAAAACCTAATAGGGTGGAGAGGAGAAATCTGTTGCTGCAATTGTACATTCTCTTTGCTGGAGAGGAGAAATAGGGAAGAAGAAATTAAAAAAAAAAAAACAAAAAACTTCTTTCAGTTTTCTTTTAATTAAAAATGTTGCAGACTTAAAATTTGTGTGGTATGATAAGATAACATAATATTTTCCAGTTTCCTAATCACGACCTCTCGTTCTTAATAATTATTCTCAAAGTAATAAAGGTTTTAAATTTGGTATTGTTGAACGCTTGTGTTTTTTATTTATTTGATTATTTTTTTCTAGATTATAGATATTGGTTGATAGTTAATTTACAATCTGGGTTGTGATTTTAAATTAATCATTAGACCAACAATTGATATGAGGAAAAGTGCTAGATTAGTGTTATTTAGACAAGTAGTTGATATTTCTGAAAAAAAAACAAGTAGTTGTTAGGTGGTGCTAGATTAGTGCCCGAATTTCAAATCATTTCTAAGTTGTATGAGTTTCTCTCAAGCCTCAGCATAACTGTCCTGATGCATACATAAGCTAGGTGTAAATTGTCATGTATGGATATAAATGTATTAGCATGTTTGAGTGTGAGCATTACCTAATTTCAATTTATTCAATGTTCTGAATCTCTGTCTTATAGTTATATTAGAAATTTGTTGTATTTTCCTTTTTCTAAAATGTCTCTATTTTGTATGATAATTTTAATCTAACTATCAATGTTGCCATATTTCATAACTCATTAATGGCTATCTTGAAATAAAATTGTACTGCCGGATGAAACTGTTCTTAAATAAATAAACAACAAATTCTAGATTTTTAGAGATTAAGCAGTATTTGTGAGTTATGCAATATTTTTTTTTTTTTTTTTACTATTTTAGATAATCATTTATTCTAGTTATTAATCTTATTATTGAAATTAAACAATCAGCCCCAATAACATATGAAGTATACAATAGTATCCAAAATACCTCAGCCATAATCCTTTATAGCTAACCCAGTTTAGATTTTCTTGTTTAATTCATTACCCAATTATATTATTCTACAATATTGACAAAATTTCTTACCAATAATTACACTAATATTTGTAAAAGGCTCATACAAGGTTTCTCGATGTTTGTGCTTAGATGGTTGCCAGTTTGGCTCATTTTGATATTGCATAGCTAATATGTCAAGATATAACAATTATCCTCTTATGTTTCAAATATCTTTAGTTCCCTCATATACTATTATTCTTCTGCACAGGGGATGACTTATGTATCATGGATTTGATATTATAGTTGATTACGTAGGCGTCCCAATGAAGTCCTAGACCACACTTTGAAGCAAAAAGAGTGAGCTTTAATTCTCGTATGTTTATAGATTTATTGCAAAGTTGTTTATTTTTTTATTGCTATGTCTTATTTGTTGGCATGTTCTTTTCAAGGGGAATTATCTAGGGCTCATCCGTGGAGTGAATGTCAGGAGGATCAGCTAATGTTGATTAATATAAACTCATTACTTGTCCTAATATTACTTCAAGTAAATTTATATTCCTTGCCTAGATTAATCGTGCTGCCTTGATATTTTTTCGTTGCTTTCAATTACATTTCATCTATTTGATTTTGAATGTATGCGTCTTTCTGCATATGAACAAATGGTATTCAATCTCAGTTACCTCTTCTGGAGTTAATGGACTGTGGTATGTTTATTTATGATCCTGACATGGATGATGCTTCTGTAGATGAAAGCAGTGATAAGTGTCCACAGAAAAGTAGCAAGCTAAGCTGCATCATATATATCCTGAAGCTTATTATCAAGCAAAAGAAACTTTGCTTGTGGGTTGTTCTGGCTTAGATGTGAGTACCTCTACTTTACATTGACTAATTTCTCTTACTTTTCACACCTAGATTCTTTTCTGATTTAGTGAATAATTAAAATTTCAGCCCTATACTTATTTGTCTATTTGTCTAGAGCTTAATGACCTGAATCTTACCTCTTGTACAAAATTTGCATCCAGGTTATTAATTTGAAATATTAGATTTACAATGGATGGTTTTAATAAAAAGTTGTTAATGTTAACAATTTTAAGGTTCAGAGAGGTTACTTCTTTAGTGTCCCAATTTAGTAAGTGTTCATGTAGCTGATTGTGAAAGTTTGATGTTGAGGTTGTTGAAAGTCAGATATATATGAGTCCTCTCAGAAAATATGATTGGTATACCTTCCTCTAACTACGTCTGTTGTTCCACTATTATTTCATCTTGTTGATAATACGGAAAGTTTTTTAAAATTAGGTTTCTTTGAAATAATATCCATTTAAAACCTGCCTTAAGTTAAGCTAAATGGTTAGTGTTTCTAGTAGCCTTAGTGAGACCATTTTCTGTAGCCTGACAATCTTAGGTATTTTTTAAGCTAGAGCTGCTTTAACTTTGACATTGAACAAGCTCACACTGACATACATGCCTATGATTGAGGTATTTTTCTTGTGAATTACAAATTTAATGGATGTTATATATAACTGTAAATTACAACAAATTATTTTCTGTTTTTGCTTTCTAGGATTAAAATGCTTGCAGATTAGCCGTTTTCAGAGTATAACAGTTTTCACGTTCATTTGTCCAAATAATTTATTTATGTAAGCAGAGTTTTGCATTTTATTTTGTTCTGAACCTGATAATTAATTTCTGTTATGCTTGTATATGCCATTCTTGTCTTGTGAGTAATTGCTAAACTCTGCAAAATCCTAAAACTAATGAAACAAATTTTGGGAAATCTGAGTAGTATCAACAAAGGAGGAATAATGTGAGTAGTTTTTGCTATATATATGTGTATCTGCTGTAATTTGGTCTGAGATATAAATGTGATGAAGTTTGTGTATTTTGTTTATCAGGGGATTTAGATCCATTGGATATGGTGCAAATAGTGCTACAGGTGGAAGATGCTTCCAGAATTGCTTTACTGTGAGAAATTTGAGAAGCAGGAGAAGAAATGATAATGTGGTTCAAAGAATTGCTGAAAATATTGTTTGGGGGACAAAATGATTTAATTTTAACTTTTAATTTTTTTCTTAATTAGTTTAACTAGTGATAATTTAATTTTTAATTTTCTTATAGATAACAACGTAATTTTAATTTATATTAATAAATTCTAATTTTTTTTATTGAAAATTTTGCTTATTTTTTTTTTTTATTATCATTATTATTATTGGCATTAGGTATATGCATTGTGTGGCATTAGGTATTAGGAACCGTGGCATTAGGAATATGCAACGTGGCATTATGTATAGGAAACCGTGGCATTAGGTATAGGTTATCGTGGGCATTAGGTATAGGAAACCGTGGCATTAGCTAATACCTAATGCCACGGCAATAATGTAACCGTTGTATCAGGTATTGATCTAACGCAACGGATCATTGATGCCATGGCATTAGGTGTTATATGTCGTTGCATTAGACCTATTGCAACGCCAGCAGATGCCACGGTACATGGCCGTTGCGTTAGGCCTAATTCCACGGATTTTGATGCCTAATGCAACGAATTTGGGGGTTGCAATAGGTCAAAAATGTAGTAGTGAGGACAAGTACGCAATGCAAAGTAGAGTTTAGAAAAATCCGGTACATGCCCTAAGTAACAACAGCTCACACTGAGGATCATCCAGCATAGCGACCTTATCCATAAAAGAAATGGTCTTGGTCACCCTCTACATCACAAGCTCACCACTAAAACCAGAGTCGGAACTAGCAGGACCAGCAAGCAACTTAACACCACGCAAAGGTCGAGCAGTATTAGGTGTAAAGACACCCACAATCCTGCTTCGAGGGTCTTCTGTAGGCCAGAAAACTTCTTTTTTTTCCATGTTAAGACGTAACCCAGAACGAGGCCATTCCTCAATAATCAATTGTAAGACCTTCCCCACCACCAACGTGTCACCAATAATAGTGTCGTCATCCAAATACCAAGCCTGAAGATGTACATCAAAAGCCTATCTGATTTTACACACCAGGGGCTGTAAAACCAAAGCAAAAAGCAAAGGACTAAGGGGATCACCTTGCTGCACCCCTTGAAACGACTATAAGGTTTGGTCTCCATAATATAATCTGGCTTGATTAGAATAGCATAATTCAACCCATCGAAATTCCCATTATTATTATTGTTATTATTACTATTATTATAAAAACAAACAAAATCATATAACTTACAAGAAATTAGTGGAAAACCGAGATATAATCTAGACCCCCACTTTTCTAGCTATAGAAAAGCTTATCCTAATGAAAAATACGAGCAGCAGCAAGTGCTCCTATCTCTTTATTCTTTGAAAAATTCAGGACCCGTTTTAGCAACGCAACAACCCTCTTCTTTAACTACTACTATTACTACTATACTACTACTAGCTAGCTACTAATGTTGATAATTAAAGGATATGTAATAAAATGAAAATAATTAGAGGATTTAGAGTGAAAATATCAAGATTTAATTAATAATCAGATTCTTTCTCATTAAATACATTTGTTTTACATGTAACAAAGTAAACAATCTGATTAAAAACCTGAAATTGAAAAAAAAAAAAAATGAAAATCATAACTACATTGGACTATAATAATCATATGATTGAAAAGTCTTAAACTACCATGACATTCCAAAAAGAAAATATTTAACATTGTTATGGCAAAAGTCAAGGAATTCTTTACCTATAATTCACAAAAGATGATCAAAGGTGGATTAGTGAATAGTGTAAAAGTCAAAGCGGGTCAAGTAAAAAAGAACGGAGGAAGTGTATATATATATATATATATATATATATATAAGGGATCCGGTGAGAATAGGTTCATATGTGAGAATTTATACTTATATGAGAATTGATTTAAAATTTAGAACATGTTAATAAAAATTTAGAACATGTGAAGAGTATTAAAATTTTATACATATGAGTAATAATTTAGAACATTTGTGTGAGTAATATGTTAGAACATTTGATTTAAGAATTAGAACAGGTGATTAAAAATTTATAAAATTTGATTTATGAAATTTTAAACATAGAAAATTTAGAAAATTTGATTTAAAATATGAACATGTGAATAAAAATTTAGAACAAACTGATATAGAATATAGAAAGTGTGAGTAAAGAATTTAGAACATACGAGTAAAAAAAACAGAACATACGCTTCAAAATCTGGAATATATAATTAAAAATCTTAGAACACACGTTTTAAAATTTAGAACATATAATTTCAAATTTTGGAACAAGTTATTTAAAATTTATGACATTAAACTTAACTAATTTATGGTTTAGAACATGTGAGTACTAAATTAGAACATTTGAATTAATTTAGAACACATAAGGAAAAGTTTAGAACATCAGATTTAAATTTAGAACATACGAGTAAAAATTTAGAACATAAAGAGTGTTCTCACATACGAAATAAATATATATGTATATATGTATATATATATATATATATATATGTATATATATTATATATATGTATATATATATATGTATATATATATGTATATGTATATATATATATATGTATATGTATATATATATATATGTATATATATATATATATGTATATGTATATATATGTATATATATGTATATGTATATGTATATGTATATATATATATATATATATATATAT